TTCCCGTCGGGGAGCGCGGGGCCGGGGCCCAGGGGACCCCGGGCCACGGAGAGCGGGAAGAGGATGGACTGCCCGGCCCTCCCCCCCGGATGGAAGAAGGAGGAAGTGATCCGAAAATCTGGGCTCAGTGCCGGCAAGAGCGATGTCTACTACTTCAGGTACCGCCCTGGGGGCGGGGTGGGGTCAGCGGGGTCAGGTCGGGGTCAAGGGTCAGCAGCTGACCTGGGCAGGGGATGTCATGATGGGAGCAGGACCCGAGGGAAATGGCAAAGACAGGCTGGCCTCGTAGTGGAAGGTCCCTGAGCCCTTGGGTGAGAGTTGACCCCAGAACAGTGACAGGACAGGCACAGTGTCTGAATGGTGAGAACCCGGAGGAGGGCGTCTTAATGTTGACGGTGCTGGGGAAAATGGTTTGTGGAAAAAGGGGTACTCTGGCAAGGATGGTTAGTCCATAAAAGGGTTAAAAGAAGGTGTAATTCATCGAAACTATAAAACCCAGTCACTGTTGGCTCCTGTCCCAGTCTTTCCCAGATTCATCATCACAGGAGTGTTTAATCATGCACATGTGGAAGAATTCACTATCTGCAGTAATAAGGTTTGGGTTACTTTGTGAGATCCAGGAAAGTTTGGTATAAAGTAGCCACTTGGAATGCCTGAAGTTTCTTGGAACTCTCTTGGTGTTGCAGAACTTACTTATTTCTGAAAACTGAAACACTGTAATATGTTGTTAGACTCCTAGACCAAAATTTGTTCCCCAGGGGATGTTAGGCAATGTCTGAGGACATTTCTGGTTCTCATACCTTGGGAGGGTGTGCTCCTGGCATCTAGTGGGTAGAGGCCGGGGATGCTGTCACATATTCTGTAATACACAGGATGGTCCCCACGACAAAGAATTATCTGACCCAAATGTCACCAGTTTGAGAAATCTTGGTCTAAATGATTCAGGTTTTCACCCTGATGTGATCTTGAAATCCTGTGGTCATGCTGTCCATGTCATTGGATGATCCAGTAAGCTCAGGAAAGTGCCTGTGGCTATTGATATCAGTGGAATTTTCTTATCAACAAATTTACTAATTTTTCAAAATAAACCGTCCTATTTATAGAAGAGAATATAAATATGTTATATTCAGTGGTGTGGAGGGCCATTTTTGTGGGCTGTTTGAATCATTTTTCAGGGAATACGTTTGGGTGTTGGAGCCAGTTATTGCCAGCCATTTAGCCATTGGAATAATGTTCTGAAGGATTTACTTTCTTCATCAAGTAGGTTAATACATTGCCCCTGAGGGGGGAAAGGGGAATACATACACATACACTCTACAATATTTATGAATTGAGAGTACTTTTAAATAGACTTGAAAGGTTAAAAAAAATACACAAACATTTGTGTGTATGTGTTTATACACACAAGAATGTGATCACCACTGGAAAATATGTAAATGTGAACATATTCCTGATGGTTGCTCAAATATATGGAAAAATAGTTTCTGTAAATTTATTTCACCTCTTCAAGAAAAAAAATGAAAGTGGTGTCACTTGATCTGAGACCACTTGTTTTGAAATCTTAAATGATAAAATGGCAATCTTATTTTAAACAAAGGTGATAATCTTATATTTCCCCATTATTAAATATTAAATTTACTTCAGTAATACCAAAAAGGTTATTGTGGAACAAATTGTTACTCCTCTCAAGTTCACTTGTCATTTAGTGCTATTCACAATTGTTCACTTTTGCACATTCTTTCATTAACAATTTATGTTTTCTTTCTAAGCAGGTAGTATGCTACCTTCTTTCTGTGAACTGTGTATTGTCTTGTAGCCAATTATATTTTACCGGAATATTCTGTGTCTGGGATTGAACTCCTTGAGGAATAGGTGACTAATCTATTCTCAGTAGAGCATCTTAGACTTTGAATTTCACTCTCTGTGGCATTTCTCCTGGGATATAGTTTGTTTGGTTTTGGGATGACATATTTGTTCAGACTAACTTTGGGTTATTGCAAAGTGTTTTTTGTTGTTTTCCTTGCAGTAGCTGGAAAAGTTATTTCAAAAAGGCATCTTGCTGTAGTGCTCATTTTGATTTGTGGTCACTTAGTATTTTTTTAAATGTGTTGTAAATTTTTCAGCGTTAACTTTTTTTTTTTAAAGATTTTATTTATTTATTTGAGAGAGAGAAGGAGAGAGAGAGAGAACACATGAGAGGGGATAGGGTCAGAGGACGAAGCAGACTCCCTGCCGAGCAGGGAGCCTGATGCGGGACTCGATCCAGGAACTCCAGGATCGTGACCTGAGCCGAAGGCAGTCGCTTAACCAACTGAGCCACCCAGGCGCCCTCAATGTTAACTTTTTTAATACAAACTCAATAAATATTTTATGGTAGAAAAGCTGATATAATCAATTTATTTTTTTATTTTTTTAAAGATTTTTTTTTATTATTATTTATTTATTTGAGAGAGAGAGAGAATGAGAGACAGAGAGCACGAGAGGGAAGAGGGCAGAGGGGGAAGCAGACCCCCCGCTGAGCAGGGAGCCCGATGCGGGACTCGATCCCGGGACTCCAGGATCATGACCTGAGCCGAAGGCAGTCGCTTAACCAACTGAGCCACCCAGGCGCCCCTGATATAATCAATTTAAAAAGAACTTTCCAAACAAATTCATCTTACAATAAATGAGAAACCAGTATAGTGATACTTTCCAGAATTTAAGTCTTTTTATTAGGGGCGCCTGGGTGGCTCAGGTCATGATCCCAGGGTCCTGGGATTGAGCCCCTCATCAGGCTCCCTTCTCAGCCGGGAGTCCTCGTCTCCCTCTCCCACTCCCTCTGCTGTGTTTCCTCTCTCACTGTGTCTCTCTCTGTCAAATAAATAAAATCTTGAAAAAAATAAAGTCTTTTTATTAGTGCAGCATGATTTCCTTTTTACTTGTTTATACAAAATGAAGACACTTGGAACAGATTTGTGCCACATGTGTTTAGTTCAGGGTTGGAAGGGATGTTGTCTAATTGTTTATTGACTACCTACAAAATGTTAGTTTGCAGGATTGTAACATTCACTCTTGATTCCCTTCTGAGAGGTTACAGTCAGAGGTTGTAGGACACAGGGTAGCATGTTGTGGTATTCGTAATACAGCAGTTGTTCTTTGACTTCCGTTTGCAGTTACGAATGATAGAGGACACCTACTCATAGTGAAGGTGAACACATTCTTTTTCAACCAGACTGTCACAGCTTTGCATGTCAGCATCCCCATATATGCCTCACCCGTTAAAAAACCAGTAGCTCACAAACGCCGGCCATCTCTGTTAATAGGCGGGTTAAGAGTTAACTCTCCCATTGGTAATGTGAACACCTGCACCCATTTGTTCACACAGATTCTAATAATGCTAACTCCTGAATTAGCCTGCCCCTGGGGAGATTAATTTAAACAAATCTGTGCCTGTTAACGTAGGGCGTGGCTTACACATATTAATTGGGCTGAAATTAAGCTCATCGGGAAAGCCTCAAATTTTGGTAAAATGGTGTTTTGACTGTTTCCTGAGACTGCCAAGTTCTAATAGGAAGGCGTGCCTCGAGTTGCCAGTTAAGCAATATAATTATGCTTTCTGTCAGGATTACTGATAGTGTTGTGGCAGTTCATATATTATCATACAAAGTGTGTTTTTAAAAATGTGGTTAGATAAAGTGCTGGATCCATTGGTAATAGTTTCTGAAAAGTTTGTTGCCATCCTATGAACTCATTATGGGAAAAATAATTTTCTAACTGGTCTACTTGACTCCTGTCATTTCTAGTTTTTGGTTCCCTGCAGTTGCTGACTGATATTTTTGAAATATTATTTTCCCTGCATAGGACCCTATAGGAGCCAACTTGTCCTTTTTCTTTTTTTTTTTTTTAAATCAAGTCTAAACTTGTTGGTTTCTAGACTTCTAGTTATAATTAGGGTTAAAGATCTGGGAGTCATGGTAAACTGTTAAGCTGCTGCCATAAAATATGTGGTTGGATTTTGGAAACAGTAGTAAATACTTTCGTTTCTTATATCAAAATTATGATGCATTTGTACCTGATCACTTCCCTGAAAAAAGGATACAGGGGAACCAGAGAACAATTAAAATAATCATAGGAAGCAGGTGCATGAAGAGAGACTAAAGTTATTTCACTTTGATATGGAAAGAAGAGGACTCAGAGGCAGTATAACTGAGGTCTATAAAATCATGAATGATATGAGAAAAGTAGAAGTCTCTAGGGAAGGCAGCAGTGCACAGGGATGAAGAGGTCTGGCGTTGGTCTTCTAACTCTGCACTTAACCATTTGGTGCAACCTTGAGCTTGTCACTTACACTTCCTGGTCCTGTGGTTTGTCGGTTTGTAAAGGGCATATGATTTTACCTGTACCTCAGTGTTACAAGGATTCAATTTCAGATCACTAAAATAACTACATAGATCTCTTGAAGCTTCAGATATGTTTAAGGACTAGTTAAGGAAAACAACTCAAGTTGTGTGGGCTAAACATATAAATAGGTTTAAAAAAATGTATAGGTGTATCTGACTTGTTACCAAAAGCTGGTATGCTGCATCGAGGGCATGAATTCTGAATCATTGAGCATGTCAGAGTTCACCCAGGCCTTTCCCTCTTTTTTTTTTTCTTTTTTTGTCTTTTGTCTTAAAAAAAATATTCTGCCATGTAGTCTTTGTTGGAAAAAACTAACGGAATGGACCAGGGGAGAGATTAATTGTCACAGTTCTTAAATATTAAAGTCTCTTTGGCTTTCAATAAATTGTCTTTTCCCCTAATATCTGCTTTCTGGCCATCCCTATGTAGTTGAGCCTGGTATCCCCTGTGTTACTCTCATGTTCATTTACATAGAACCTATGGCTCTCTCACATAGCTGTCTTTCCCCCTAGGTACAGTGCTGAACACATAGATGCTAAGTGTTTACCAACTGATGTGACTCTTAAAAAATTTGTGAAACAAGTCTTAAATGACCTCTTAGCCTTTGCTTTATATTATCTAGTGGTGTGCTGGGATGAAATTGGTTGAGATATTAAGTCCAAACATTTTCCAGTTCCTTATTTTCATCATTAATGTTGAGGGTATTATAGAAGGCCAGAAAGCATTCTAGAGATACAGTGAAAATGGTAAGTAAAATGCTTATAGTGCAAAGATATGT